CTTACGCCTTTTTTTTTTTTTTCCTCTTTTCTTTCCCATAAAAAAATTCCTTGGTGGACCGAATCAATTCGCGCAACAGTTTCAGGTAACCTTGTGCGTACGTTGGGAGATGAAGAGTAAATACTGAAGTTTTATCCACCAGTATTTACATATAAATCTCTTTCTCTACAGTTTAAAGCCTCCAAATGTTTTCCGTAAGTACTGGCCAGCTCCCAGCCCCACAACTAACTGTAATTCCCATTTCATACGCTGGTTTTGAATGTAAAACCAACGGGCCACTGATCAGGTAGCGCTGAGCTAAAGGCCGGGAAATACAGTTTGTCGTGCGCGTTACGGTTGCCTGCACGGCGAAAGAGCTCAGGCGGCGAGCCCGCGCGACTCAACGGGCAGAGCTCTGGATTTCCATCGCCTGACTTTTCTCACCTACGCTATTCGCAGTGTAAGAGTATTTGTTTGCAGAGATGAATATGCCAAAGGCCAAAAAAAAAAAAAAAATTTAAACATTTAATTAACTTGAGCTTAGTTCAAAGGGTAGGAAACTGGCAGCGATCCAAGGATGCATTACTCAGGTAATGTCTTTAATTTAATTTGCTTAGGTTTAATTTTTTTTTAATCTTGATAATTGCTCTATGGTTACTAGTTACAATGTTATCTTTTAGCTTTAATATTTGGTACAGCACTTAATTAAGAATGATGGTTTTCTCTGCAATAAAGCAGTGGGGCTCGTCTATTTTTAGCTCGCTGCACTCGCAGCGAATCGATAACCCTCACGGTGATGCTGTCAACGGACGCCTGTTTGTTTCCCCAAAGGTTTCGGGGATCTCCGTTGTTTCTGGGGGGCTTTTCAGCCTCCCACGAGGCTGAACACAGAGAGCTGACTTGGCGAGGTGTTAGCTCCTGATCTGCTCTCCAGTTTCCAACCCCTGAGATTGATTTAAATAAAATAAATCACAAAAAGGAATGATTAAAGGCCAAGGAAAGACGAAATGAAGAATAAAAACTGTTCACTTAAAGTAAATATAAGGGAAATGGTAGTTTAGCACAAAGTACAAATGGTATATACTGTAATACCTCCAAGTGAGATGGCAACCAACCATGTGTAACGTTTCAATGGTATCCATTTGTAAAAGCCGTTGCAATCAAAGGTCCCTAAAATTGTACAATTGTTAAGTTCATCAGTGCGCTATACATGGGAACAGATGATTATTAATTTTGGCAAGAAATTATCAAAGGACTTGAAAGACTGTGTTGCCAGCATGAATATGTATTTCGGAAAGCTGTTCTGGTCACTAATGACTCGAGGGGCTGAACTCGACGGTTACCTTTCCGAGACCGTCATCTTCTCGTTCCCCCAGTTCCAAAAATAAACTTTGGGTTTTCCTTTTTTATTTTTAAATCAGGGTTAGTAAATGGAGAGTGTTAAATGCGTGTGTGTGTGTGTTTGTGCGTCTGTGTGTGTGTGTAAAAAAGGCTACTGGATTCTTTACAGTTATTGGGGGACAGGAGAAATTAAGAGGCTGCCAATCTGCGTGTCAAACACAAAGTAATTCTTTGAAGAAACGTTAGTGCAGACAAATCAGGATACCACGAATTGCATCTTGTGTCTTATTACTTGAAAAATCAAGATGTCACTGCGGTCAGAGAGCGCAAGTTTTCAAGAACAAACAGGGCTTTTTCTTTAGGTAAAAATGGAAGGAAGGGGTGTTTCAAGTGGTGATAGATGGCAGTTTAAATTGATGCAGCTCTTAGCAGAATTTCACACCAGGATTGATCCAAAGGCTCTCAAGGCATGTAGGTGACCTTATGAGGGAACCACGAGTTCAAACAGGAGGGCACAAATGGAAGGCAGAAGATTTTTCTAGGCTTTTTGGGGGGAGGGGTGTGCTCATTTTTTACACCATAAACATAACGTAATTCAGTTTCGGGAACTTTGTCTGCACTCCCAGCTTACCCCCAACTCATCCAATTTGGTCAAAGTACGATATCCTCTATTTAGTCTGAGGACTCGTAGGGGCGTTCTCTGTGCTTTGACATGTCTAATTTACAGGAGGAGAAAACAAACAATTTCTCATTCTCGCATTAAAAAAAGGAGAAGAGCCCTTTAGGTTGCTGGTTTTCCGTTTCAGAGACTGACAGCCACTACAGAGGTTCAACCACATTCATGCTAACGCACACAGGTAAAACAACACAATCTGAGAAACAGCATGCAGTTTGGTTAAGCAAATCGCCATCGCCCATAATTAGTTAGATTACAGAACCACGTAGCATTAAAGAAATATTTTTCCAGTGACTTGACAACAAAAGGGAAGTGACTTACTTGCGACCTGCAAATTTTAAGGACCGTTGGCAGTACAGTGACTGGCCAGGAGTTATGCACGAGTCGGGCAAACGAGGACAGCTCATGCTAACTTCCACCCGCCG